TCTGGAGGTGTATTTGTATTTGTCTTCACCTGTAAATTTTTTACTTTCCTATGCTCTTGAGAATTGTTCGCTGTATTCTCTCATTATTGCTGATGGTATCTGTCTTGTTCTCTTGAAACTCACCAAGCTCCCTAAAGATGAGTAGTGTTAATTCCTTATTTAGTCATATGTAAGCACCTTTCTCTTCCTTCTTTTGAGTTCTTGGAAAATTATTGCATTCCTTTGTTGTTATGGTTTTTGTTTTGTTTTTTAAGTTTCTTGTAGCCCTGCTTCTTAGATTTTTGTGACTTTATTGAACAAGGAGCTTTAACTATAGGTAGGTGTGAGGGCTTGGGCTTGTCAGGGTATGGTAGACTCTGACTCGTTGGGAAGCCCAGTGCTGTAGTCTCCATGCAGTTCTATTAGCTGATGTCTTTGTCAGTGATGGTCTTAGAGATCTGTGTCCAGGGCAATAGCAAAGCTTTTGGTGGTGAGGCTGAAGACTTGATCTCTTCTGTCATGGAAACATCCTGGCCAATGGGATCCCTGTTGACACCCGTTGTGACTTGTGAGTATTCTCACAATAGTGGGGGCAGCTGGAGGAGATGTGGAGCACAGGTGCACAGAACAGCTGCAGGCTGGGCTTGATGAGCACAAGAACAGTGCGTGTAGGACACAGGCTCTGGCGTCAGACTGTTCTACAGCCCTGGAGTGCAGAGCATGGGTCAGGGAGGGAGGTGGTTCCTTGCAGAGTGTTGCAGGCCCTGCTCCTTTCCGCCTCCAGGGTCCCTTAGCAGTAGTGGTGGGAACTGGCCACTCCATGGCAGAGGAGCTTCTGAATCCAGCGCCAGTACACACTAGAGAGATTTTCGCTGTGACGCCTCATGACGTTGGTTGTTGATGACTTCAGTGGCAAAGGTTCTGGGTTTCTGCTCAAAGCAAGCCCCTAGGAGCCATGGTGGTTCAGCCTGCCAGACTACTGATCCTATGTCTGTCTGTTTCCAGATGTCTCCCCAGTGGGCCTTCTGTATCTTCCCTCCCCTCCTTCTCTCTCTCTCTCTCTCTCTCTCTCTCTCTCTCTCTCTCTCTCTCTCTCCTCCCTCT